TAGACGTGCCTGTGAGCACTGACGGGACCAGAAGAGAGCAGTGCATGTCCCCCTCTGTCACATTCAGCCTGTTCCTCTGAGGCAGGGTCTCTCCCTGACCCTGGGCTTGTGCCCTCTCAGCTAAGCTGGAAGTTAGCAAGACCTGCCACTTCTACCTCCTTTGGAGCTGGGGTTACAGGTGTGTGCTGGATGTTCAGCTTCTTATGTGGATACAAGAATTCAATAGTTCCCCTGAGTTCCTCTATTTCTTGCGATTGCATTTTATTGTTAGTTTTCTGTTGCTGTGCTAGAACACCATGACCAAGGTAACATATCAAAGAAAGAGTTTACGTTTCAGGACGGAAAGGAGTCCATGGTGATGGAAGAGTCATGGCGACAAGCACCAGGCACAGGGAGCTGGAAGCTCATATCCTGAACCACCAGCACAGAGCAGAAAGAGCAAACTTGAAGGAGGTGACGATTTTTACTAGGAAACTTGCTCCAGTGAGGCTGGAAGACCAAAAGCTCCCCAAACAATGCCACCACCTGGGACCAAGTATTAAAAGGCTGAGAGCAAGGGGGACATTCCACATTCAAACCATGACACCTTTATTAGACAACTTACCCCTCAAATTCTGTCTCAAAACCTACTGCAGGATTTCTGTTAACTAGTTACCTTCTGTCCTTCAAGCTACCACAGGTGATAGACAGTTGGCCAAATGATTTGGTACTGCAGCACATGATTTTCCTTATCTACGTTCAGTTTTGGAGTTAATGCTAGTCCTGAGGATTAGTTTCTGTAGCAGTCCATTTGGCTCTTCCTGCTTCGGAAACCACCACCAAAATGTCAGAGGTTTACAATAGGCATTGAACCCTTGAGTCTGCAGACCTGGGGTGGTCCAGTTTTGGGCTGTGGGTTCACTGGCTCGACTCTAATCTGAGGGTTTGTGCAGAGCAAGGCCAAATTCCAAGTATATCTTAGGTCTGTCTACACCACAGCTACTAACTCCTATTAAAAACAGTAAGTGGCATGGCCTATCCAGTGTCAAGGGATGTATGATGGTTGATAATTATCTTTTTAGACAATATGCATTAGGAAATTTGATTGAAAAAAAAAGCCCAAAAAACAAAACTTGTTGAGGGTGAACAAAAGGATAAAATTCTAAGTTACCATTGAGAAATCTTCTTTTGCTTAAACTAGATCAGAATGTTTGCCCAAAATGATGATGGTTAATGTTGATATTCAGTGTGACTGGATTTGTAATCACTTTGGAGTGATTGACACTCTGGATGAATCTTCGGGGGCCTTTCCAATGAGGTTTACCTGAGGAGGTTAGATCCACCTCCTCCTGAATGTGAGCAGCAGTATCCCTTGATTGAAGACCCAGATGGAAAAGAAGGGATGAGGTGAGGCTGCCCGCAGCATCTTCCTCTGCTGCTGACTGTGCACGCACCACCACCAGCTGCCTCCCTCTCCTATCACAGCTACAGCTGCTCTCACTGCCATGCTCTCCCCACACAATACACTGGACCCTCACACGTGTGAGCCACTTCCTGAAGTTGATCAAGCATTTTGTCACAGCAACAAGAGAAATAGCTAATACATCTCTATAGCCAAGAAAACCCATTCACAGGTTCCAGGTGAACAGCAACTGGGGAAGGCGCATTGTTCAACTCAGTTCACCCAGGAAGCCAAGTTTAGACTCACAACTGACCTTTATTCTGAAACACCAAGAGACAGGAAAGATCCGAGAGTGGGCCTTTGGGGAAAGGCTCATAGAGTCTTGATGCAGGACCTGTATTATCTTTTTTCTGGACTCTACTCCACAAGAAAGAGGACTACTTAATCAATACTTGCCGGATTCCGTCCCGGAGCACAGTGAGATGTCTGTCTCAGTGCTCTGGGATCCATGCGTTTGCTTTTCCTTCCTGCACGTTCCATCCCTGCCACAGAGGTTTTCTCCTGTAGTGGTGAGCTGTTTCAGGTGCAGGAACGCAATGCAGGGGGACGACTGTAAGGACACACCTGACTTAATCACTGGAGAGTGAGAGTAGTGGGACCACAAATGGGACAATGAGGGGAAAGGGAGCGCCAACAGGTTGGAATTCCGAAGACTGCTGAAAAGTATTTCATTAAGGGAGCAGGAAGGACAGGCGTGGGAGACCTGAGATTTGTATTTGAGAGTTTAGAAGGATGTCTAAAGGGCATGCTCTTGGTGGCAGACTATTTCTGAAGATGGAGATAATGCCATCTAGGCACTCAGGAATCGTGTGTTTGCTCTGCCAACTACAGAATTAAAAGGCAGTGAAGAAGAGTCACTAGCAATCTTGAGGAGTCCCAGCCCAGCTGTCAATGATGTCAATGGAAGTTGTGGTCCCCTTTTGGGGTTCCTAGTCTCATTAACAGAAGTATTTAAGGAGAAAATGAACTCAAACGTAAGCTTGAGGACAATTTCTTAGAGTCCGAAAGGAAAATCCCAGGGCAGGCGAGCTGTAAGTCTCTCAGGGGAGAACAGAGCACAAAAGCCATGTTGTTGCTAAAGATATGGGGGAAGGGAGGTCAGCCACGTGGGGCAGGCAACCTGGAGCAGAGCTTCAGAAAAAGCAAGGAAGCCCAAAGCCTTAGTTAAGGAGTTTAAAAGCATACCTCAGCTCTGGCCAGCATCTGAAACAAAAGGACAGAGTTCCACCTTTGGGAGTTGGGCCTCAGGAAGGCAATCTGACCCAGCCACACCACAGGGACTACTAGTGGGACATCATCTTACTGTGAAACCCGCTGGGGTGGTCACCTAGTCATGTCCCAGGCCTGCCCCACTGGATTAGCCCTTAAGGGAGGAGATAAGGGCATGTCTACACCTAGAGGTAGAGTCCATTCTCTACAGTGGCCCCATCTCTCATCTCCATGTGAACTGTACAACACCTCTAGTAAGATGTGAAGTATTGTTGCCCTCCCTGTCACAGTGAGATGGCATTCCCACTTTTTTACAACCACCCGGGAAGGTGTGTGCTGTAGAATATTATTTTAAGGTGTGTTATTTTTATGTTGCGTTTGTTTAATTCTGTGAAGCTGTGTTACTGTGCCTGTGTAAAACACCTGATGGTCTAATAAAGAACTGAGTGGCCAATAGCAAGGCAGCAGAAAGGATGGGCAAGGCTGCCAGGGAGAGAGAATAAATAAAGGGAGAAATCTGGGAGAAGGAGATTGAGGAGCCAGAGAAAGAGGCAGACTCCAGGAGCCAGCCAGCCAGCTACACAGCAAGTCACGGAGTAAGAGTAAGATTCACAGAAGTAAGAGAACGGGAAAAGCCCAGAGGCAAAAGATAGATGGGATAAGTTAAGAAAAGCTGGCTAGAAACCAAAACCAGCTAAGGCCATGCATTTATAATTAAGAAAAAGCTTCTGTGTATGAATTTACTTGGGAGCTGGGTGGCAGGGGCCCCCCAGAAGAGCAAAAAACATACAACAGGTGTGAAGCTATGCAATTTCATCAACTAGGTCAGAAAAGGCTATGCCATTTTCTTGCACAAAGTCAGACATCATGGAGATAGTCTATTCCAATTTTACCTTGTTAGACTGTATGACATTCTGACTAACATGCCAATTCCAGATTATTCTACCTAGCTGGCTCCCCTGGTAAAACAACACTTGTCATTTAGGCCCATTAGACCAATCAGCTCGGCCCCTAGTGGGACTTCAGACAAGACATTTCTGCTTTCTTGTAGCACTGAATATAAAACTCAGGGCCTTCTACATGCAAGACAAGTGCTCTATAGTGACTTACATCCCTGGACTTTAGGACTTCATGATGCTACTATAACACAAAAAATTGCCAAAGAAAATGCATACACCTTCATTTTTTGAGACAGGGTCTCACTGTGTAGCTGTGGCTAGCCTGGAACTTGCTATGTAGACCAGGCTAGACTTGACTCACATCTATCCACCCGACTCCGCCTTCTGAATGCTGGGATTATAGACGTGTGCTAGCATGGTCCCCAATCCCCTCCCTGCCTTCTTCTTTTTTTTAAACTTACAGGGTAAAATATCTGTAGCTTCCAAGTTTCAATCTTTTACCTCATGAGCTTTGGACCCACTACCAACTGCCGCCAGGACATCTCCATTTAAATGTCCAACAAGTATTTCAACATGTTCCAAACTGAGTTCTGGACTGTCTTCTCAAGCCTCTTCCTCCCTAGCTCAGTTAAGGGAGGGTTTGGTTGCAAAAGGCAAGACTCTGATGCCACCCCCCAACTCCATTTCTCATAATCCATATTCACTGTGTAGGCAACCCTGTTGGCGCTGTCTTTAAACTATGCCCAGAATCCAACGTTCCTCTCCACCTGCCCCTACTGCTTTCCTTGGTCTCTTACCCGGATGATCCCTAGTTTCCTGACATGTCTCACTATGGTAACTCTTGCTAATTTTTAGACTACTCAGCCCATCTATCTACTCAAGGGATCTAGCCAGAGGAACAGGCAGGTAACACTCCCTCCAGCGAGTGTTGGTCACAGCAAGCCAAGCTGGAGGACATATGTGCTCTTCTTGCTTCTCTGCGACTGCCTCTCCTCTTCTTACACTCGGCCATGATGGCTTCTTCCTGGTTCTGAACCGGACAGGCCCAGGCCTGTCTCAGGGGTTTAACACTAACCACCACCTCTGCAGGGGTATGTTCTCCCAGAGACTCCTGCGGCTTCATTTTTGAGGGACTGTTCTTGTGCTGACCATACCTACATTTCAACCTATACTTGGAACCTTGTAGCCAATCTTTGCTTTGTTTTTCTCCCGAGCATGCACCACTAACACACTAACACATTTTTCTTATTTACTGTCCACTTTCCACACCAAGGCAAGCCATTTTGGATTACTTGTTGACTGTTGGTTAGAAACAACCCATCTGTCCAGACAGTATTCAAAGCACTGACTGAATTAGAGAATCTTAGGATTGCTTGTGTACCCCAATCCAACAAAAATGGGTGGAAAAAAAGGGGGTGCAGCCAAAAATAACGAACAGGGAAGAGCCATGATGAGTTTTCATTTATTACAACTTTATTCAATCACTTATTCACAGTTTTCTAATTGCATTCTTGACAGTTATCTGGGCTCAGAACAGAGCCTGTTTTGACTGAAGCAAGCGGAGTTCATTTACTTGTTGAGTTGTTCCTCTCTTGATTTGGAGTCTCTGCTCTCTTGGAGTCCTAAGAGAACTGCATCAGCCTCTAGTATAGTTGTATCTGTGGTTGCACCCAGGAACCTCGATGTTAGCTCAAGATCCAGGAGTCGCAGTCGGACCCTGGTGCCCCTCTGGTACTTCCTAAATAGTAAGAAAAATATTTCATTAATTCTGCAGGTCACACATGAACAGACTGAAAATGAAATACAAATTCTAATTTTCATTTTTATTGGCTCAAGCTTTGAAAGTTCACACTGGTAGGTGAGTAATAGCTTTATTTGATGATCAGGTATACCAGAATTTTCAACTTAAAATGACCTTTAAAGATTTTGCTTTCCTTATTTATTTAGTGTGTATATGAAAGTGTGCTGTATGGACATGTTCATGTGGATGTATTGATAAACCAGACTGCTTCCATCTTAGGCTTAGAAGCCATCTTATAGTAAAGAAAAACTAGATTCATCCCTGTTTATGATTAAATCTGTTTCTCAAAGATTGGGCTGTGCCCCATCTGTAACCTGAACTACAAGTGGTTCTACACCGCCTGTTTCAGGGAAGAGCAACCATGCCTTTGTTTCAAAAGGTTATAATGACCACCTGGTGTTATGACCACCTTGTTATGACCATCTTGCAACCGTTTCTTTGCTTCAGGAGGTTGTTATGACCACCTAGTTATGTTTATGTTCTACTTCTGTAAACCTACCTATTTGCCTGCCAAATCCCCCATTTGGAAACCCCCTGTTCCCGAATTATAAAACCCTTATCTCATCCAAGTCTAATACTCATCTCTTGAACCCTGCCTTTAGGGGGAGACAGCCCGTGTATAGGAATAAAAAAAAAAAGCTCACGTCAATTAATTACTTGCTTTAGTTAATTTGGGCATGATTTGAGTCAGTGGTCTTTCTCCTGAAACCTGTGGGATTAACAATATGTATGCATGTGTGCAGGTATACACACACGTATGTGTGCATTGCCTACAGAGGCCAAAGGTCAATGTCAGATGTCTTTCCTTGGTTATTCTCCACCTTACTTTCTGAGACCGGGTCCCTTATGGAACCTGAGGTGCACCAATAGGCTAGGCTGGCTGGTAAATGAGTTTCGGGGCTGCCACACTCATTTTCATGATGGCAGACACTTTACCAAGTCATCTTCCCAGCTCTCTACGTATTCATTTATGCTTTTTTGAGACAAGGCATCAGGTAGTCAAGGTTGGTCCTGATACTCTTACCATCACTTCCGAGTGCTCAGATTACAGGCCTGCACCACCCCACTCCGCTATTTAAATATTTTATACTATAATAAAAATGTACTCGATACTGAAATTCAAACATGTCAGTTCTTAAAACTATCATTTATTTTAAAGCCAAAGTATCAAGGAGGAAAAACTCAGATCCATATTTTTCTCCTAAAATGAAATGTTTCAAATAGGGCTGGAGAGATGGCTCAGAAGTTAAGAGCACTGGCTGTTCTTCCAGAGGTCCTGAGTTCAATTCCCAGCAACCACATGGTGGCTCACAACCATCTATAATGAGATCTGGCGCCCTCTTCTGGCCTGCAGACAGAACACTCACTGTATACATAATAAAGAAATCTTTAAAAAAAATGTTTCAAATAAAGCAAAATTTTACAAAAGCGACATGGATAAAATTCCAAGTGCAAAGTACTTGACATCTGGGACAGACTGTACCAGTACTAAAACATAAAAACAGTTGGGTGAACCTGAAAGACATCGTGTGACAATGAATAAGCCAGGCAGAAGGCACTGCAGAGTCTCATTACACGCAGACCAGAAAAGGCTGAACTCATAGAAGGAGAATGGGGGTGGCCAGAGGTTAGGTGCCTGTGGGGTTCGGGGAGCTGTCAGTCAGAGGACAAGCTGCAGCCACACAGCAGGGGTAAGTTCAGAAGAGCACAGCGACCACACCAGTGATGCTTCATGTGCATGAGAACAGCGGAGAGCAGAGCACAGCGACCACACCAGTGATGCTTCGTGTGCATGAGAACAGCGGAGAGCAGAGCACAGCGACCACACCAGTGATGCTTCATGTGCATGAGAACAGCGGAGAGCAGAGCACAGCGACCACACCAGTGATGCTTCGTGTGCATGAGAACAGCGGAGAGCAGAGCACAGCGACCACACCAGTGATGCTTCATGTGCATGAGAACAGCGGAGAGCAGAGCACAGCGACCACACCAGTGATGCTTCATGTGCATGAGAACAGCGGAGAGCAGAGCACAGCGACCACACCAGTGATGCTTCGTGCATGAGAACAGCGGAGAGCAGGCTTGGAGTGTTAACACCACAGGATGAGTAAGTCTATGAGCATACATGAATGAGCCCGATTTAGCCACTCCACATGAAATTACTCCAAGCATCACACTATAAAGTGTAACAGCACATGCCTTCACATCAGTACTCAGGAGTACTGAGAGTTCAAAACCAGCATGGACTGCATTTGTGAGTTCCAGATCCGCTTAGGCTAAAGAATGAGACCCTTACTCAAAAAACAAACAACTAACAAGAACAAAACACTAATCAACCAAAAAACAATCATTTAATTTTTGTCAATGAAAAACATTAGTGAACTGAGAAAAAAAGGTGAAACCAGGTATCATATACAATAACGAATTGGTCAAGACAATATTGACAACACAATACAATACAATATTGAGCTATTGTATTTCATATGTCATCATATGAAAACCAGTAGTCATCTGCCTTTTTTCCTCGACTACTATTTTTTTCTTTTTTTATTGGTGGTACGTTAGGTTCCAGAAAACAATTTTTTAATATTTATTTTTATTATTTTTGATTTGTGTGTATGTGTGTGTGGGTGTGTACCCATGTGTGCAGGTGCTCCCCTGGAGCTGGACTTACAGGCAGTTGTGAGCTGCCCAGTGTGGGTGCTGGGAGTCAGACCCAGGTCATCTGCAAGAGCAGCACACACTCTGACAGCTGAGCCATCTCTCCAGCTCTGGAAACCAGGAATCTTTAGAGACACTCCAGTACCATAAGTTATTGGTTTATTTACTTATTTATGGAGTTCTGGGAATCAAACGCAGGGCCTCATGCGTGCTAGGCAAGTGCTCACTACTAGCACCTTCCATATCGTGTTTATTATTGAATTTTTAAATTAAAATTGTTTTACATAAACAGAAAATTTAAAGTGTTTTCTGAACATTCACTGGGAAATAATTTTGGTAAACCATATGACTACTCTCCCTAGTTTCTGCTCACAGTCTGAAGGTTTATGAATGGCCGCTAAGTAAACAATATACCCACTCTCCCTGTTGCCTGATTATATTCTGAAAAGTTATGAATGGCCGCCAAGTAAACACTTGGGCTCTTTAGCTTTTCTGAAGTTAATTTTTTTCTTTCAGATAACAGAAGTGAATGGTTTTGATAAAACTTAAAAACAATGAAGTCAGTCATGTTTTCTAGCCCCTCCTCGTGCGTGAAATGTAAGATTATAGTCTGTTTTTGTTTAAAAAAATTAATTGGGTATCAAGACTATTAAGGCACAGCTTTAACAACTCAGCAAACAGCAGTTACAACACATGCTGCTTATGAGGCAATCATTGGGAATTAAGGTTAGCTCAGAGCACGGTAGAATACTTCATGTCTACAAGGAGCTGCAACTTGTGTTCTGGTAAATCCATTGGTTCTGCACTGTTGGTTATGGCTCTAGTTGGTGGCGTGAACCTGCAAGAGCCGGGCCTTAAAATGAGGCAGACTGCAGTCTCATGCAAAAGCCAACTTTATTCAGAGCACCAGACAATTTATACTCTGAGGGTTAAGAAGAATTGCCAAGAGTAAGGTGTTCAATCACAAGGATAAGCCACGTGTGGCACAAACAGCTTTTTCCATAGAGACATATGAATAACAACAGCTAAAGTCAACTCAGTCCTATCTGCTACACCTGGGAGGAGCATGAAAACACATTCCAAGAACAATTCTGTGTTTTTGCAGGAACTGAGGTCCCAAGACTCTTGGCTTGTTTTCTTGGAGTTTTCTTACAAGCACTCAGAATTCCCCTGCATTGCTCCATTCTTGGACTGTGTCCCGACACATTGTCAGTGATCTGTTCAGTCAGCTTTTGTTCAAATGACCCCTCTTTGCCTTTTTTCCATAATATCCAACTAGTTACTAGATTTTTTTAACACGCACTTCTTTGGCTTAGCCCCTCAGGTGTCACCGTGTCTAGACATGAGGGCTGCCATGATCCTCCGGGAGCTCCGGTCTCAGGGTGCACTCTACACCTTTTGGTTCCTTAGCACTGCTTGGCCTTTTTTCTAACTCATATTGATTCTTTAGTATCCAGGTGGAACATACCAAATGTAGCTCCTTCTCATTTTCCTCTCAGAACAGAGTCCATTGTTAGAATTCTCATAAAAGAGAGGGCTTTGCAGTCACAGACATGGGTGCAGATCTGAGTTCTACTGAGTAAGAGCTTGGGTAAGCTGCTTTCTCTGACCCACAGTTTCTGTACCTATGTCACAGAGGTTGCAATTATTTTGAAAGTTTGCTGAAGATTGAACTGGATGACATGATGCAATACAATAGAGTATAATATGTATCAGCACAGGGGCTGCATATGGTGGTACATGGTTTTAATCCCAGCATTCGGGAGGTAGAGAAAGGCAGATCTCTATGAGTTTGAGGTCAGTCTGGTCTATATAACAAGTTCCAGGCTAGCCAAGTCTACATAGTGAGAATTTGCCTCAAGAAACCAAACTAAGCTGGGTGTAGTAAAGCCTGTGCCTTTAATCCTGGCATTCAGGAGACAGAGGCAGGTGTATCTCTGTTAGTTTCAGGCCAGCCAGACCTACACAGTGAGTTCCAGGGCATCCAAACCTACACAGTGAGACCCTGTCTCAAACAAACAAACAAACACAAACAAAAAAGAAAAAGTTAAGAGACAGGGGGGTAGGGGGAAGGAAGGAAGGAAGGAAGGAAGGAAGGAAGGAAGGAAGGAAGGAAGGAAGGAAGGAAGGAAGGAAGGAAGGAAGGAAGAAAGAAAGAAAGAAAGAAAGAAAGAAAGAAAGAAAGAAAAAAGAAAGAAAGAAAGAAAGAAAGAAAGAAAGAAAGAAAGAAAGAAGAAAGAAAGAAAGAAAGAAAGAAAGAAAGAAAGAAAGAAAGA